CTCCAACATTCTGCTTTACCAAGCCATGGAAGAAGCTACAGAGTATAGGTTATTTGGGATCTTGAATCTTGAATGCTTCATTTCCAGTCTACCTAGTGTTTGGTTTTGATTTTGTTCTCTACATTTGATCACAGATTTTGAGTTCTCTGTTTCCTGATTCTCCATCAGGTTTTCAGGATCAGCATGGATTGGCATTGATGAAGGAAGATGGATTTCATTAATGGTAGTAGACAATTAAATCCCTGTTATATTTGCAGGTATCAAGGTAAGCTGTATAACTTATTGAGATCCTTGAGCGGAACAGTGTGTACTAAGTTACTAAGGAAACTGCTATGTAATTTGAAACAATCTAGGAACAGTGTGGAAGAAAGCTCTGTAATCTACATCTTTAAGATTGTTTTTATGTGCCATTGAGTCAGAACTAACTCACAGCTGACCATCCACAGGGTTTTCAGAGGAGACTCCCTATCTCTATCTCATAGGGCAGCTGATGGATTCAAATCATGTGATTATGGATTGGCAATGCAACTCATTGAGATTATACTATTGAACAGAGTAAATGGATTCTGTCATCATAGGTCAGAATTGAGTGAACCATAGTAGATTTTGGTTTGGTATGTGACTTACAGCAAGTCATTCTAGTTCCCTCACACCCAATGTTTCCATTTTCTTTTTCATTGTTTATTTGTTTTACTTTCTTAACCTAAATTTTACACTTAAAAATAGTACCAATATTTTCTACTCTTCTTATCTCTCAAGAAAATGAAAACTCTCATACTCTTGAAATAGTCCAGCTAATTGTTGTTGTTGTTATGTGCCGTTGAGTTGCTTGCGACTCATAGCGACCCTATGTACAACAGCCCTAAACTCCGCTCTGTCCTGTGCCAATCACACCGTCTCTGACACTCCCATCCCAATTATCCCAGTCACTGAATCAATGCACCTCATACAGGGCCTACCTCTGCTGCACTGTCCCTCCACCCTCCCAAGCATGATGTCCCTCTCCAAGGACCAGTCTCTCCTCACAACATGTCCAAAGTATGTTAGACGGAGCCTCAGAATCCTTGCCTCCAAGGAGCCACCCAGTTTAACCCCTTCTAGGATAAATCTGTTTGTTTTCCTAGCAGTCCATGGTATCTCAATACTCTTCTCCAGCACCACAGCTCAAAGGCATCAATTCTCCTTCTATCCTCCTTGGTCATTGTCCAACTCTCTGATGCATAACAAGTGATTGGGAAGACCATAGCCTGTATCAGGCACACCTTAGTCTCCAGACAGACACCATTGCTCTTCAGTACTTTGGAGAGGTCCCTAACAGCAGACTTTCGCATGGCAATGCGCCTTTTAATTTCCTGGCTGCTGGTGCCAAGACTGTTGATTACAGAGCCGAGCAAACTAAAGTTGTATACAATCTCAATCTCTTCACCATCCATCCTGATGCTGCCAATTGGTCCAGTGGTGAGAATCTTTGTCTTCTTGACATTGAGCCTCAATCCATATTGTAGGCTGCAGTCCTTGACACTCTGCAGCAGGTGCTTCAGGTCCTCCTCAGTTTCAGCAAGCAGGGTTGTGTCATCCGCATAACGCAGGTTGTTGATAAATCGTCCACCAATCTTGACCCCACACTTCTCCTCATAAAGCCCAGCCTCCCGGATAATCTGTTCTGCATATAGGTTGAAAAGGTATGGAGATAGGATGCATCCCTGGCGTACACCCTTCCCAATTTTGAACCATGCAGTGTTCCCTTGCTCTGTTCTGATGACTGCCTCCTGGTCCAAGTATAAGTTTGGCATTAGAACGATCAAGTGTTCTGGGATTCCCATTCTTCTCAGAGTCAGCCACAGTTTGTTATGATCTACACAGTCAAATGCCTTTGCATAGTCAATGAAACACAGATAGACATTCCTCTGGTATTCCCTGTTTTCAGCCAAGATCCATCTAACATCAGCTACAATATCTCTAGTACCATGACCCCTTCTAAACCCAGCCTGGACTTCTGGTAGTTCTCTGTTGATGTGCTGTTCCAGTCGTTTTTGGATAATCTTCAGTAAAATCTTGCTTACATGTGAAATCAGTGAGATTGGTCTGTAGTTTCCACATTCTGTTGGGTCACCTTTCTTTATTAATGAAATCCACTAACTGATAAAGATATGAATCAATATTTTCTTTATTAACTTTTTACTAATCAGTCTTACCCATTTATATTCCTACCTTTCCTCCAAGTGTTTAAGTATTCAAAAATAAGTATTGTTTTAAAATTTTAAAACAGTACTAAACCCTTGTACATACTTATAGATTTCCTTCTTTTGATGTTTTCTTTTCTGATTGTATCAATTACTCCTTCTACCTCTTTAGTCTTACAGCAACTGCTTTTCTTTACTTGATGATCATGATAATATGGCATCCTTTAATTGTCATGTTACTAATCCATTGGGAGGGGGCGGGGTAGGGTAAGTAATTTTTTTTCTTTGCTTTGCATCTGTCTTTGTGTTTCCAAATCCAACTAATCATGCATTTCTCCCTGTAGCTACCATATAATAGGTTTCTACAATCAGTTCTGAGAGTGGCCCTGTTTGTCATCTTGGCCCCTGAAGCTGTTCTGAAGGGCTGGTGTTCATTTGTTCTCTGTGTCATTATGGTGGAGGGTGAAACACGGTCTAACTTATGTCAAACCTGACTCTAAGAAGTTTACAGAAGCAATAAGGAAGGTTGGCTGGTCTGAGCTCAACTACGATCAATTACACTATTGAGCAAAGGACAGCACCATCAACTTTAGGGGCTGCTCAAATACTTAATTAGGTCCCTAATTAGAACTGTTTAAAGGCAGCCTCTTGTATTAATGAAGGTGTAGTCTCAGCATGAGGACTAGAAGGGCAATTACTAGTCATTTGTTACTTTTGAACTGAAATTCTCTGTCTAAAATATCAGTGTTGAAGAATGGGGTTAAAAAAGAAAATAGTAAGCTCTAAACTATAATAGGACTAGGACAGAGTTTGGATCACCCACCTCTTCTGTTTATTAATAGCTGTATAAATTTGTGTAAATTAGCAAACTTCTCTGAATCTTTATTTCTCCATCTGTAAAATAAAGATGAGCTCTAACATCTAGGGTAGATATAAATATTAAATCACATATAGAAACAGTTTGAATTGCTGTTGTTGTTATGTGCCATCAAGTCAACTACACCTCATAGCAATTCCATGAACAATATCCCTGAATCCTGCCCTATCTTGAACCAATGTAAGCATCTCTGACACACCTGCCCTCTTACCACAGTCATTGTATCATCTCATCCAGGGTCTTCTGCTTCTGCTCTGACCCTCTATCCTTCCAAGTATGATGTCTATATTTGGAATTTAGTAAAGCAACAGTTTAGACACTGATTATTATATGTATTTGCTAAAAATTAAATTTTACATTTAAAGGTGGATTAATAGGAAATGTAGGGAGCTCTAGTGATATAATTCATGTGGAGTCGCATTGTTAACCCAAAGGTGGTATTTATGTATCAGTCTGAACCCACAAATGCCTCCATAGGAGAAAAATGGATAATCTTCTCCTTTGAAATTTACAGCCTCCAAAAACCCACTGGCAAGTCACTTTGTGTGTGTGTGTGTGTGTACCCTCAAATAAGATTTGACTGGCACAGGAGGAGATTGCCCTTCTTTCCCTAGTGGAGCATCTGGTGGATTCAAACAGTGAACCTTCAGGTTTGCAATTCAGCTTCTTGTCACTAGGCCACCAGAGCTCCCCGGAGAACCACTTTTGAGTCAGTTCCAACATGACAGTAATAAGAATAGAAGTTGTGACTAAATATAGTTGATTCATTTAAGTAAAGAAAGGCTCACCGGCATCCATTTGTTTAGTAAAATATCCAAGCAAAGACTCTACACTTATAGCCCTCACAACTCTAAACCTCACTCAAAATTTCCTGCCTTCTCCAGAAGGTAGTCAGTGTTATTCGGCATTTGCTAGATACGTTTGACTCCACCTCCCACACGAAAAGCAAATCCACACAGGTGTGGTGACCTGAATGTGTGGGGTAATCCTGGCACAGATATAAAATCTGGAAGACTTATGGTCCAGACACTGTACTGTCTCTATTTTGAGAAACAGCTGTTTCCTCATATGAATGCTACTAAAATAACACAACCCTGCTTGCTGAAACTGAGGAGGACCTGAAATGCTTGCTGCCGAGGGTCAAGGACTGTAGCCTTCAGTATGGATTAAGGCTCAATGTCAAGAAGACAAAGATTCTCACCACTGGACCAATGGTCAGTATCAGGATGGATGGTGAAAAGATTGAGATTGTTCACAGCTTTAGTCAGCTTGGGGTCAAACTCTTGGCACCAGTAGCCAGGAAATTAAAAAAAATGTATTGCAATGGGAAAGTCTGCTGTTAGGGACCTCTCCAGGGTACTGAACAGCAATGGTGTCATTCTGGAGACTAAGGTGCATTTGATACAGGCTGTGGTCTTTGCAGTCACTTGTTATGCATCACAGAGTTGGACAATGACTAGGGAGGACAGAAGGCGAATTGATGCCTTTGAGCTGTGGTTCTGGAGAAGAGTTTTGAATATACCATGGACTGCTAGGAAAACAAACAGATTCATCCTGGAGAGGGTTAAACCAGGCTGCTCCTGGGAGGCAAGGATTCTGGGGCTTCATCTGACATACTTTGGACATGTTGTAAGGAGGGACAGGTCCTTGGAGAGGAACATGCTTGGGAGGGTGGAGGGATGGCACAAGAGAGGAAGGCCCTCTATGAGGTGGATTGATTCGGTGACTGGGGTAATCAGGATGGGTGTGTCAGAGGCAGTGCGAATGGCACAGGACAGAGCGGAGTTTAGAGCTGTTGTACATAGAGTCGCTATGAGTCACAAGCGACTCCACAGCACATAACAATAACAAGAACAGGATTGGGAAGCCAAAGCAGCATTATTTTTTTTTTTTTACTGGAAAATAATTTTTTATTGTGACCCCTCCATCTAGTCCTGACATTAGGCACCTTCTTCTTTTGCAATGCGGTCTTTCTTAAGTGGTCCCATGAAGGCCTTCTTCTCCTCCATTGTCTGGAAGCGGCCATGGCCAAACTTGGAGGTGGTGTCGATGAACTTGAGATCAATCTTCTCCAGAGCCCGGCGTTTGGTCTGCACCAGCAAGGACTTGCGGAGAGTCAGCACTCGCTTCTTGGTCCCCACCACACAGTCTTTCAGCATAACAAAGTCGTTGGTCACTTCACCATAGTGGACAAAGCCACCCAGAGGATTGATGCTCTTGTCTGAGAGATCGTAGTCAGTGGAGGCATTGTTTTTGATCAGCTTGCCGTCCTTGATAACGTAGCCTTGGCCAATCTTGTAGATTTTCTTGTTGATCTCCGTGCGGTGATGGTAGCCCTCCTGCCCAGCACGGGCCACGGAGAAGGCCACTCGGGCAGGATGCCAGGCCCCAATACAGGTGACCTTACGCAGCCCTCTGTGGGTCTTGCGGGGCAGCTTCTTGGTGTGCCAGCGGCTGGTGACCCCTTTGTAACCCTTTCCCTTGGTCACTCCAATGACATCAATCATCTCGTCCTGGCCGAACACCTGGCTCACTGGCACCTGAGCAGCATTATTAATGATAGAAAGAATATGGAAACAGCCCTAATGTCCATCAACAAATGAACATATTGAAAAACTGACACATTCACACAATTGAATACTAATTAGATGTATATATAAATGTCCAAAGAGGTAATAGGATGGAGCAGGGACCTGCACATGGGGGAAAGAGGAAGGCACAAGGTCACAGTGTTTGATGGGTGAAAGGAGAGGGTAAAGAAATTAGGAAAAATCCAATGGGATCTGAAAAAGGGGTTATAGTGGGTCTAGATCAATGATAGTTAATTTTATAAGACAATGTGTGGGAATGATCATACAAAACACAACTTAAATGAAGAAGTGTGTGAAATAAAATGTATATGATTGGAACACAATGTATACAAATTTTCTATGCAAATAGGAAATTTTTTAAAAATTATGTTACAAAAAAAAGGCAGATTGAAGGTCAGGTTTGTACTGTAAGTCACATTTTGCGAACCAAAGATTTACACAAGGAAAAGAGTAGTGATAATAGTCTATCTCAAAAGTCAAAATAACAATTTAAACAAGAAAGAGGATGTGAATTAGAAAAGGTCAGTAAGAAGACAGACTGAGAAAGGCCATTAAGTTTGAAGATCATCAGTCACGCTCTGCAGAGCAGTTCCCATAAAGTGTGGGAAGTCGAACCCCAGCTGTCAAGGAGCCAGGAGGGAGGGAGTGGCACAAAGATGCCTAGCACTGATACCTGTTCTTGAGAACCACAGAAAGAAGGAATTTTAGGAACTGGTGCTATGGGTGTTGTCAAGTGCTGCTGAGTTCGAACTGACTCATAGCTGACACTCCTGTGGGTTTTCAAAGGCTATAAATCACACAGGAGATTGCCCATCTTTTTCCAATTGAACTACTGGTAGATTAGAACTGCATGTCTCTGGGTTTGCAACTCAACTCTTTACCACTAAATCACTGGAACTCCCTGTACTATGTATGGGTAGGGAAGTGTTTGTATTTCCTCAGAGCAATTTGAGCTTATTTGTAGATTTTAGAGGAAATAAATCAAGGAGAAAGAACCAGATTCCAAAGAGCCAATCATCCATTCAAATTCCAACTTTCGCAGCCCTGAGACCAGAGGAACGAGATGGTGCCCAGGTTTCATCACTGGCCACTCTAAAATGGATCACAGTAGAAAATAATGGATTGAGTTTGTAAAAATGTGAAACAAATCTCAAAATCATCAAAATATTCAGACATCCTGGTGTGGTAGAGACAGATGGAACTCTGAGACCATGGCCCTCTTTGAAATTAAAACAAAGCTCATCCCTGTGGCTCAATTTCCAGTCAAATAATAGGACTACTAAATGATTACTAATATCAGAGATGTACTCACTTCTTAGAATAAGCAAGCATATAAGTTCAAAAGATCAACATCTGTGCAAAGATAAAATCCTGAACATAGAAAAGGGTGTAGGTTTGAAGGATGAATAGAAATGAAAATTACAAGAAGAAAGAAAGAACAAAGTGAGTATATTTTGGGTAGTATAATTTATGTTATAAAACGTGTATGAATGATTTAGTTGAAGACCAATTTACTGTGCAAGTCCCACTTAAATTACAACTTAAAAAAACAGAGTTGTTGTTGTTGTTGTTGTTGTTGTTTTGTTGTTATTAAGTATCGTCAAGTACAACTCATAGCAAACTTAAGAATTAAAAAACCTGAATTCCATCCTGTCCTGTGACACCGTCAGAATTTCTGATACTTGAACCCATTGTTGCAGTCACTGTGTCAAACTGTCTCAATGAGGGTCTTCCTCTCTTTGGCTGATCCTTGACTCTTCTAAGCATGATGTTCTTTTCCAAGGAATATACTCTTCTAGCAACATATCCAAAGTATAAGAGATGAAGCTTTGTCATTCTTGCCTCCAAGGAGGACTCTGGCTGTACCTTTTCTGAGATCTGTTCATTCTTTTGAGAGTTCATGGGATAGTCAGTACTCTTCTACAACACCACAACTCAAAGGCATCAATTCTTCTGTCATCCTTATTCTTTGGTCAGCACTCGGATGAATGGCAAGTAATTGAAAAGACAATGGCCTGAATCAGGTGCACCTTTTCTTCAAATACACATCACAGATTTTCAGTATTTTTTTTAAATTTCTGACAGCAGACTTGCCCAAAGTAATATGTCTCTTTATCTCCACTGCTGGTACCAAGAGATTTGATTGTGGATCCAAGTGAGATGAAATTCTTAAAAATTTCAATCATTTCTCCATCTATCATGATGTTCCCCCTCAGTGGTAAAGACTTTTGTCATCTTGATGTTAAGATACTAATGTTATCATACTGATGTTAAGATGTTAAAGCATATTGAAGGCTATATAGTCTTTGATCTTCTACAACAAGTACTTCAGTCTACATAGCGCAAGTTGTTGATGAGTCTTCCTCTAGTGCTGATACTACATTCCTCTTTATAAAGTCCAGTTTCAAGAATAATTTGCTCAGCATACAGATTGAATAGGTATTGAGAAAGTATATACCATGTGCTATCGAGTCGCTTGCGACTCATAGTTACCCTATGTACAAGAGATTTAAATGCTGTTCTATCCTGTGCCAACCTAACCATCTCAAACGCACTTATTCCCACCACTCCAGTCCCAGAATCTATCCGTCTCATTGAATGTCTTCCTCTCCTTCGCCGCCTCTCCACTCTGCCAAACATGATGTCGCTCTCCAAGGACCAGTCCCTCCTTGCAACATGCCCAAAGTATGTCAGATGAAGTTTCAGAATCGTTGACTCCAAGGAGCCTGCCACCTTCACCTTCTCCAGGACAAACCTGTTTGTTCTCCTAGCAGTCCATGGTATAGTCAACACTCGTCTCCAGCACCACAGCTCAAAGGCATCAATTCTCTATCAACCCTATTCACTGTCCAACTCTTTGATGCGTAGCACGTAATTACGAAGATATAGCCCAGATCAGGCACACCCTAGTCTCCAGCCTGACGTTGATGGTCCTCTTGGGAGGTCCCTCACAGCTGACTTTCCCAATGTTATTCATCTCTTAATTTTCTGGCTGCTGTTACCAAGAGTGTTGACTGTGGAGCCAAGTAAACGAAAACTGTTAACTATTTCAATCTCTTCACCATACATACTGATGCTGCCAATTGGCCCAGTGGTGAGAATCTTTGTTTTCTTGATGTTGGACTTCAGTCCATATAGGAGGCTGCAGTCCTTGATCTTCTGCAGCAAGCACCTCAGGTTCTCCTCAGTTTCAGCAGGCAGGGTTGTGTCATCTGCATAACGCAGTTTGTTGATTCTTCCACCAATCCTCATGCCACATTCCTCTTCGTATAGCCCAGCATCTCGAATGATCTGTTCTGCATACAAATTGAAAAAGTATGGAGACAGAATACATCCCTGATGAACCCCCTTCTTGATTTTGAACCATGTAGTGTCTCCTTGCTCTGTTCTGACGACTGCCTCCTGGTCCGAGTATAGATTTTGCATTAGCACAATCAAATGTTCTGGGATTCCCATTCCTCTTAGAGTCAGCCACAGTTGTTGTGATCCACACAGTCAAAAGCCTTTGCATAGTCAATGAAGCACAGATAGGCATTCTTCTGGTATTCTTTGCTTTCTGCCAAGACCCATCTAACATTAACTATAATATCCCTAGTACAACTACCTCTTCTAAATCCAGCCTGCACATCTGGCAGTTCTCTGTTGACATATTGTTGCAAAGGTTTTTGGATAATTTTCAGGAGACTCTTTCTTGCATGTGATATTAATGATCTTGTTTGATAATTTCCACACTCTGTTGGGTCACCTTTCTTTGGAATGGAAACAACTATCCATCTTTTCCAGTCAGTGGGCCAGCTGGCTGTTCTCCAGATTTCCTGGCACAACTTAGTAAGCACGTCCAGGGCAGTGTTTGTTTGTTGAAATATGTCAATTGGTATGCCGTCAACTCCTGGAGCCTGTTTTTTGCCAATTCCTTCAGAGCAACTTGAACTTCCTCCTTCATCACCATAGGCTCTTGCTCATATGTCATTTCATGAAATTCTTCTGTCTCAGCCAATTCCTTCTGATAGAGTGACTCTGTGTATTCCTTCCATCTTCTCTTGACACTTCGTGCATCATTCAACATTCTACACAAAGTATCCTTAAGTATTGCCACCGGTGGCTTGAATTTGTTTTTCAGCTCCTTCAGCTTAAGAAAACCTGAGTGAGTTCTGCCCTTTTGATTTTCTGACTCCAGCTCTCTGCACATTTCATTATAGTATCTTGCTTTGTAGTCCCGGGATGCCTTTTGAAATTTTCTGTTTATCTCTTTGATTTCTTGGTTTCTTCCTTTAGCTTTGGCTTCTTGGTGCTCTAATGCAATATTCAAAGACTCATCTGACATCCATCTTGGTCTTTTCTTCTTTTTCAGCCTTTGTAATGATCTTTTGCATTATTCATGGACGATTTTCTTAATATCATCCCAGAGCTTATTTGGCCTGCGCTCATTGGTGCTCAAGGCCTGAAACCTGTTCCTGAGATGGTTTTGAAATGCAAGTGGGATAGATTTAAGATCAAATTTTGGTTCCCGTGACTTGATTTAATTTTCCTCAACTTCAGCTTGAACTTGCCTATGAGTAGTTGGTGGTCTGTCCCACAATCAACACCCGGCCTGGTTTTCACTGCTGATATTGAGCTTCTCCACCAAGTCTTTCAACAAATGTAATCTATTTGATTCCTATGCATGCCATTAGGTGAGATCCATGTGTATAGCCTGGGTTTATGTTTCTTATAAAAGGTATTTGCAATGAATAAATCATTGAATGTGCAGAACTCCATCATTGTATCTCCAGCCTCATTTCTCTCACTGAGCCCATATTTTCCAGCTACTGATCCTTCTTCTCTGTGGAATGCTTGTCTGTCAGATACTATTATATATATTTAAAGATTGAGACAGACTAGGAAGAAGGATTGACCGTCCACTTCCGAAAAGACAGGTCTTCGAAAACACTATGTACAATAGAGCACAC